AGAATTTTAATATTTATTTTTTAGTTCTCGGCGGACACAACATCTTTGTTTTGCATGTGGTGCTGAGGATCGAACCCGGGCCGCATGCATGCCAGGCGAGCACACTACCACTTGAGCCACATCCCCAGCCCATTAATGGCTGATCTTTCAACAAAGATTTCTGAAAGCTAGAAGATCCTGGAATATTATATTTCAAATGCTGAAAGATAATGGGTTCCAACCAAGAATCTTGTTTCCAGCAAAACTAAGCTGGAAGAAAATCTAAGGTTTTTTAAATAAAATAAAACCTTCCATGATAAACAAAAGTTAAAAGAATTTGCAGCTACAATACCATTGCTTCAAAATATCCTTGGCAAAATATTACAGGAAGAGGAAATGAAAAATAATAACAGAAACCAACAGTGGGAGGTAATACAGTAAAGGAAAAACTAATCAAAGAGTAAAAACAAATCAAGTTGAATAACAAAAGTAAACAAATATGGCTGGAAATACAAACCATATCTCAATATTAACCCTAAATGTTAAGTACTTAAAACTCACCAATCAAAAGACAATGGCTAGTAGACTGGATTTTTTTTTTTAAAAAAAGATCCAACAGTATGCTGCCTACAGGAGACTCATCTGAAAGGAAAAGACATACACAGACTGAAGCTGAAAGGTTGGAAAAAATCGTACCACTCAATGGACCTTGGAAGCAAGCAGGGGTGTCCATACTCATATAATATAAAATAGACTTCAAGCCAAAGTTAATCAAAAGGAATACAGAAGAACACTACATGCTGTTCAAGGGAACCATACACCAACAAGACATAACAATCATTGATATATATGGCCCAAACAATGGTACAGCTATGTTCATCAAACAAACTCTTCTCAAGTTCAAGAGTAAAATAGACCACAACATAATAATCCTGAGTAATTTTAACATACCTCTCATGCCACTGGACAGATGTTCCAAACAAAAGTTGAATAAAGAAACTATAGAACTCAATAGCAAAATTAATAACCTAGACTTAATTGACATATATAGAATATATCAACCACCATCAAGCGAATGAACTTTTTTCTCAGCAACACATGTATCCTTCTCAAAAATAGACCATATATTATGTCACAGGACAATCTTAGCAAATACAAAGGAGTAGATATACTACCATGCATTTTATCTTATCATAATGGAATGAAATTGGAAATCAACAATAAAATAAGAATGAAAAATTTCTATATCACATGGAGAATAAACAGTATGCTACTAAATGAACAATAGGTTACAGAAGACATCAAGGAGGAAATTAAAAAATTCTTACATGTAAATGAAAACTCAGACTCAGCATATCAAAATCTCTGGGACACTATGAAAGCAGCAATAATAAGAAAATTCATCATGGAAAAGAAGAAAAAGCCAACAAATAAATTACCTCACACTACATCTCAAAGCCCTAGAAAAAGAAGAACAAATCTGCAACAAATGCCATAGAAGGCAGGAAATAATTAAAATCAGAGCTGAAATCAATGAAATTGAAACAAAAGAAACAATTGAAAAAATTGACAAAACTAAAAGTTGGTTCTTTGAAAAAATAAATAAGATTGACAGACCCTTAGCCATGCTAATGAAGAGAAGAAGAGAGAGAGAAGCCAAATTACGAGCATACAGGATGAAAAAGGCAATATCATAACAGACACAATGGAAATACAGAAAATAATTAGAAATTATTTTGAAACCTTATACTCTAATAAAATAGAAGATAGTGATGGCATTGATAAATTCCTTAAGTCATATGATCTGCCCATATTGAGTCAGGAAGATATACACAACTTAAACAAACAAATATCAAGTGAGGAAATGGAAGAAGCCATCAAAAGATTACCAACCAAGAAAAGCCCAGGATGGACAGATATACAGCTGGGTTTTACAAGACCTTTAAAGAAGAACTAATACCAATTCTCTACAATCTATTTCAGGAAATAGAAAAAGAGTATGTACTTCAAATTCATTCTATGAGGCCAATATCATCCTGATTCCAAAATGAGACAAAGACACCTCAAAGAAAGAAAACTTCAGACCAATATCTCTAATGAAATAGATACAAAAGTCCTCAATAAAATTCTGGCAAATCAGATATAAAAACAAATCAAAAAGATTGTGCACCATGATCAAGTGGGATTCATCCCCAGGATGCAAGTTTGGTTCAACATAAGGAAATCAATGAATGTAATTCATTATATCAATAGATTTAAAGATAGGAACCATATGATCATCTCAATAGACGCAGAAAAAGCATTTGACAAAATACAGCACCCCTTTATGTTAAAAACACTAGAAAATCTAGGGATAACAGGATTTTACCTCAACATTGTAAAAGCTATCTACGCTAAGCCGCAGGCCAGCATCATTCTAAATGGAGAAAAACTGAAGTCATTCCCTCTGAAGTCTGGAACAAGACAGGGATTCCCCCTCTCACCACTTCTATTCAACATAGTTTTGAAACACTGGCCAGAGCAATAATTATAGTAAAAGAAGAACTTAAACTAGCACTATTTGCTGATGATATGATTATATACCTAGAAGACCCAAAAAGCTCTACCAGAAAACTTCTAGAACTAGTAAATGAATTCACCAAAGTAGCAGGATATAAAATCAATACCCATAAATCAAAGGCATTTCTGTATATCAAAGACAAATTCTCTGAGAAGGAAATGAGGAAAACTACACCATTTACAGTAAACTCAAAAAAATAAGATACCTGGGAATCAATTTACCAAAAGAGACAAAAGATCTATACAATGAAAACTACAGAACCCTAAAGAAAGACTCAAAGAAGACCTTAGAAGATGGAAAGGTCTATCTTTCTCTTAGATAGGCAGAATTAATATTATCACAATGACCATACTACCAAAAACACTCTACAGATTTAATGTGATTCTGATCAAAATCCCAATGGCATTCCTCATAGAAATAGAAAAAGCAATCATGAAATTCATCTGGAAAAATAAGACACCCAGAATAGCTAAAGCAACTCTTAGCAGGAAGAGTGAAGCAGGTGGCATCACTATACCAGACCTGAAACTATACTACAGAGCAATAATAATAATAAAAAAACAGCACCAAAACAGACTGATAGACCAATGGTACAGAATAGAGGACACAGAGACTAACCCCAACAACTGCAATTATCTTATATTAGACAAAGTGTCTAAAAACAGGCATTGGAGAAAAGTTAGCATCTTCAACTAATAGTGGTGGGAAAAATGGAAATCCATATGCAACGAAATGAAACGAAACCCCTATCTCTCATCATACACAAAACTCAACTCAAAGTGGATCATGACCTAGGAATTAAACCAGAGATTCTATGTCTAATAGAAGAAAAAGTAGTCCCTAATCTTCATCATGTGGGATTAGGCCCCAACTTTCTTAATAAAACTCCTATAGCATAAGAATTAAAACCAAGAGTCAATAAATGGGATGTAATTAAACTAAAAAGTTTCCTCTCAGCAAAAGAAAAACAATCCACAAGGTGAATTGCGAGCCTACATCCTGAGAGCAAATTTTTACCACTCACATATCAGATAGAGCACTAATCTCTAGTGTATCTAAAGAACTCAAAAATTTGAGCACCAAAAAACAAGTCACCCAATCAACTAATTGGCCAAGGACCTGAAGAGACACTTCTCAGAAGAGGATATAACTATCAATCAACAAATTATGAAAAAATGTTCAGTATCTCTCACAATTAGAGAAATGAAAATCAAAAGCACTCTAAGATATCACCTCACTCCAGTCAGAATGGCAGCTATTATGAAAACAAACAACAAGTGTTGGCAAGGATGTGGGGGAAAGGGTACACTCATACATTGCTGGTGGGACTGCAAATTAGTGCAGTCAATTTGGAAAGTAGTATGGAGATTCCTTGGAAATCTGG